CCCCTCCGCTGCCAAACACTAGGAGACCTTCAGGAAATGACTGAGAGGCAAATTGCCTCCACCCAGCCTTCTCCAGTTCTCCTTTCCTGCTACAGCCCCCATATCATATCCCAGGCCTTTCCTGATAGTCTTCCACCCTCTGAGAGAGGTTTTTTAGTGGGCTGGAGAGGTGGGAAAGCGTAGCTGAGCAAATGGCGTCTGCTTATGCAAACACTGGATTCAAGCCAGAATAGTCCATTGCAATCAATATTTGCAGTACTTGAAAATAGTCGTTTTCCAAAGAAATATTCCCTTAAGTCTCATTAGCTCATGCTCACCATCTTATTTTAAAACATTTTTTTTAAAAAAATATTATAAGAATCTTGTACGCCTAGGGTATGGGGGAGTCATTAGAGCAGCTTAATTCAACATATTTATCAAGCCATTTAGCTGCAAATTTAGCAACGGCTAAAAACAAAATTTAACAATTTTGCAGAGCATCTGCTTATAAAACAGCAATCACATACCAGTTTCTTACCTGCTTTGATGTTTTAGAATAAAAACAGATTTATTGCAAGCATAAGCATTTGCTATGAAATTCTTCTCATAACAGCGCAGAGGAAATGCATACTACAGGTCTTCTTTAAAAATTCAAAACAAAGAGACGTCCTATGCATTTGGAAAGCTTTGGCTTGCATTCATGACTCCACGTGAAATTTGTGCATTTGACTATCTGTACTACTTCTTGTGCAAGTACTCCTGCTGTTGACTTCCTTTTGTTCCCTCAGTAACCCGGAAACAGCTAACACAGAAATCACATTGTATGTAACTTACATGAAGGTTCTTTGAAATGCTTTGGATCAAAGGGGGGGAAATGTCTAACGCAGCTGTTAGAAGCTGATTTGACCACTTCACAGCCTTCACTGCTAATAGCCAGGAGGTTCAGGGGCTCTACTGAATGGGGTAGGCTTTGAAATAGGGGTCTGAGGGAAAGGTCCCCCCCCCCGAAAATCAGACAGAGGCAACCTCTTCTGATGACTCCTGCTAATGGTAGTTGCCTCCACCAATTTTCCAGAAACCCTGGTCTTCCACCATGCCAAAGCCCATCCCATACATGAGGGTCCCCTACCTTTCTCCAGGGTGGGTTTTTTTTGGGGGGATGGCCACCTTTCACCAGCCCTATATTATACATGCATTTCTATGGATCCAACCCAATCGGTACAACCACATTTTAAAAAATAGTTTAAGTGCCAAGTTTCTGTAAAGGTAAAGGTACCCCTGCCCGTACGGGCCAGTCGTGTCCGACTCTGGGGTTGCGCGCCCATCTCGCTTAAGAGGCCGGGGGCCAGCGCTGTCCGCAGACACTTCCGGGTCACGTGGCCAGCGTGACAAGCTGCATCTGACGAGCCAGCGCAGCACACGGAAACGCCGTTTACCTTTCTGCCAGTAAGCGGTCCCTATTTATCTACTTGCACCCGGGGGTGCTTTCGAACTGCTAGGTTGGCAGGCGCTGGGACCGAGCAACGGGAGCGCACCCCGCCGCGGGGATTTGAACCACTGACCTGACGATCGGCAAGTCCTAGGCGCTGAGGTTTTACCCACAGCGCCACCCGCGTCCCCATGCCAAGTTTCTGCAAATGCAAATTTACCAAGTACTTTAAGCTCGTCAAAAGACACATTAAACTGCCACTGGACCAATTTTTGTAAATTCTGAATTGGAGTCTAGCAACATGTTGACAGGAAGAGCTCACTAGCATGGTGAAGTGACTAGATTATTGGGGTTTAAAGCGAGGAATCCAGTTAACCATGAACGTGCATCAGTATGTTATTTTCAGATATTACATTGCCAGTTTGAGTCCTCCGTGGCTAACCTTCCGCACAGGGTTGTTCTGAGGCTAAAACACACCAGTGTGAGGAAAGACAACAAAATTAAATTGTAGGTGTTGCTTTAAAATAAAACAGAATGGAAAATAAAGATGTATGTGTATGTAACAGTGGTTCTACTACTCAGTTTTAATTAAACATTCATGGTTGAAACTGCCACTTCATTTCCTCTATTTAAAGAGATGCAGATGTATGAGTTACTGATGCAGTAGGAGTTCGCAAGTTGTCAGTTCATTTAGACTAAACTCGTATTGAAACACAAAATCTGTCAGCTGTTAAAATCACTGTTTAGTAGAGACACAGGCCGTGTACGCATGCCCATTTACTCTGGCTCCAGTGCGCTCTCGCTGCTGGCTTTTCAATCGATGATGCAGAGCTTTCCTGTAGTTTCTTGAGAAATACTGCTATTTTTGATGCACTTTCCCTCAAACTAAACTTCAATCCGAAAGGAAAACTTAAGCTACATTCACTTTGCAGTAAAGCTGAGGTGTGTACATTTCAGAAAGTCCTTGTACATGTGTGGATGACAGCTCAGGCGCAGGTGACAGGATCGTGAAAAGGGGTTGGAGGAGTTGGTGACCGCCTCTCTGGTGTGTACAACAACTTGAAACTCAGTGGAGGAGAACCACCTCACTGTGTTTTCAGCCGCTAATGTGTACATAGCCATGGAGAAATCTAAGTTAAGTAATTGCATCAAAGCAGAATATTCAGACTGGAAACTTGGCCTGAAATTTCTTCTCTGGTAAGAATATAACAACAGAACAGTCGTCAACCTGAGTGGCCAGTTAGTCCTTGTGGTGAATAATGTTGACTATGATTTCTGGAAAGTTCTGTACCTCAGGAGTGGGAAAATAGGCATCAGACTTGCAGCAATCATGCAGTTTTGTATGTAATCACAACTTTAACCACACACCCCATTAGCTTTATTAAGTCATGATTTTTTTATGTGTGATTGCTGTTGATAAATATTTTGCAAAGTTTGGGAGGTGGATGTTTGGTGGAAGAACCAGAAGTGCAACATAACTCTGTGATAGAAAACATGAGAAATGATTAAATTTAATATGGGTCAAATACATATCTCATCCTTTTCTGCAAAGGAGATTTAAGAATTTTCTGCAGTCCGGCTACTTTTGATTTCTTCAAAAAAAGAGATACATATTGTTCATATACATTTTTCTAGAGGCCAAGCATTAATTAAGGCACTAATAGAATGTTCTGGGTTGTATCCAACTCAGTGCATGCAGAATTCTGTTCATGTAACAGGACTTCTCCTTCCCCTCCTCTCCCCGCACGCCCTCAAAAACTGCTCAGAGGCATCCTTCAACCTTCTGGAGCAGATTATGAGGTGCTTGGAAGGGAAGAGGGTGGGAATGAGTTGGAAGGGGCCCCAAGGGTCATCTAATCTAACCCCCTATGTTGTAGAAGTCTGCGGCACTAAGGGAACAGCAACACTCAATATGACCCTATAGGTTTGATTTGATATACTTGTTCTAAACTCCCCATTCAACATCCCACACAAGCAAAAATTAACAGCCTTTATAGCAATTCTGGAGGATGCTTATCCATTTGGGTTGTTGAAATAGATGTTTAGTTATATTGTGCTGGGTCCAAACTTAGTAGACTCATTAAAATTAACAGAATTTGGTAGTTCTGACTAACTTGGGTCCACTTGCTTTCAGGGGGTTCTGTTCTAATAATGACTAAGTCGGGATCCAGCCCCTTTGTCCTGAGCACCTTCGGTCTTGCATGCTCATCTTCAAATTACCATATTTTTCACTCTATAAGACGCACCAGACCACAAGACGCACCTAGTTTTTGGAGGAGGAAAGGAAGAAAAAAAATATTCTGAATCTCAGAAGCCAGAACAGCAAGAGGGATCGCTGCGCAGTGAAAGCAGCGATCCCTCTTGCTGTTCTGGCTTCTGGGATAGCTGCGCAGCCTGCATTCGCTCCATAAGACGCACACACATTTCCCCTTACTTTTTAGGAGGGAAAAAGTGAGTCTTATAGAGCAAAAAATACGGTAGTTGTTGCAGTAATCGTCCAACTCTTCCCCAGACAGTCATCATTCTCTGAACTTATTTCCTGGTTTTCATAGTTTGGGAGTTTGCACATATCCATGCACATAAACCCATTTCTCAAGCAGACACATTTTGACAGCTCTCACTTCTTGGTGCAGCTGGAGGTTAGTGATAGATCAGGTTCTGATAGATGCTTCACCTACTTTTGATTTTGTGCTGCTTCTTGACAATTGCTCCATCCTTCGTTGTGGCTCAGTGCCATGTCTGTGTCCCCTTCCTCCTCTCTAGAGGTAGTGAGGGGTGGGGTTGTAACACAAATAACAAGCAAATGGTGGTGGGGATGAAGTGTTTGGTTGTGGTTTCTGATATAGAAATATGGATATTGAGCATAGGTTGGCACACAAGAAGTCATGAAGTTTACCAAGTGCTCATTGTGCATCCAGGTAGATAATGTGAGAAAACAGTGAGCACATTTGTAAATTGGATGCGTTTCCAAACTTGATTCAACGCTGGGATATTTTCCTGCAAGAGCACTGCATTGGTCCAATCTAATTTAAGATAAGGAGCATGAGGATTTTGCATGCTTGCAGGCATAGTGCCAGTCTCAAGGCTCTGAACTAAGGAGAATTGGCATCCCACAGTTGAGCCCATGTTCTTCGTTGCAGTCCTGTGGAGCGCTTTAGGTAATGCCCGTCCTCTGATACTGCTTCTCTCCCAACTCCCAGCCCAGATCTGGTACTTGGGATAGGCTCTGTTCATCGTCAGTGAGAAAGCATGGTTGTGCATAATGGCTGTGTTTCTGTATGTTTTGTTTGTTTTCTTACTCTTTATCAGGGCTTCCTATAGTGCATTTCATTTCTATTATTTTAGAATAATAGAACTTTGAGAAAACTAATCTAGCCAAAGTTACCTTTCTCTAATCACAGTGGTTTTTTAAAATTTCTGGGTAGTCATGATACTGGTTACCGTCTACCTTCATTATGGCAGTGATAGCAACAACAAAAAACCTATACATTTCCTGAGCTTGGTGTATTAAAACTATGGGCATGGACAAGTATAGGTGCTGCTGTCGTCATGAGAGCAACTGCTAAATCCCTTCTCGTTTCTTTGTGCACAGAGAGTTTGGATGGAGAGACCCGGAACTTCCAGAAGTCATTCAGATGTTACAGCATCAGTTCCCCTCAGTACAATCCAATGCTGCTGCCTACTTGCAGCACCTCTGCTTTGGAGACAATAAAATAAAAGCTGAGGTAAGAGAATTAGTTGTTTAAAACATGTGTGTATGTGTGTTGTACAATATATGTATGCTGAACCACTGTTGAAATTCTGAGCTGCCTTTCTCTTTATGGAGAACTCCAGGAGAACTTCCTATCTATGCTGTGGTTTACTCCGGGCCAGTGTGGTGTAGTGGTTAAGAGCGGTAGTCTCGTAATCTGGTGAACCGGGTTCGATTCCCCGCTCCTCCACATGCAGCTGCTGGGTGACCTTGGGCCAGTCACACTTCTCTGAAGTCTCTCAGCCCCACTCACCTCACAGAGTGTCTGTTGTGGGGGAGGAAGGGAAAGGAGAATGTTAGCCGCTTTGAGACTCCTTAGGGTAGTGATAAAGTGGGATATCGAATCCAAACTCTTCCTCCTCCTCCTCCTCCTCTCTTCTTCTTCTTCTTTGTTGCCTTTTTGTGAGGCACACTTCATGAACTGAGTTTTTTTGGGGGGGGCTTTTTATTCTGTCATTGGGCTGTGTACCAAATTTCAGATTTCTCTCTGTTGTGGAAGTACCTTAAACTTTTTTGATATCACCTTACATAAAGCTTTTAGTTACAGGCAGGTAGAGGAAAAGGTAACTTCAGAACTACTTCACAACTATTGTTCATATAGCTATTTCCAGAGCATGGAGAGGCAGGTGAGCACTGTAATAATACTTTCTTGATCATATGTGTATTGCCTCTCATTACAGACATGTGTATTGCTATTAAAGTGTAATGTTTCCTTGATTGGTTGGACTACAGCAAGCCACGCCTCCTGGGAAAGTCACATTCACACCAAATTATTTGAATCAGTGATACTTATTGTAGTATAGTTATATTGAAAGTTATAGTTAGCCTGGTGCCCTGCTCTCTCATATCTCTGTTGAAAGAAATTGGTGTTTTGTTTTGTTTTTAAAAAAAGGATCTGCACCAGAGTCAAATGTGTTGCAACCTCATTTTCACCAACATTTAATGTTTCTGCTTAGCATAGATGCTTCCTAAAAGGTGCACCTTTGCCTTTAGCCTGGCTTCATTCATAATGATGGTTTGAGGACTTTCATCACTTGCTGACTCCATAGAAGTGCATTCTGCCCCTGACCATACTGATTGCATTGTGCATCTGCTGTGATCATCAGAATTGTAGGAGGAACATGTCTCTGGACCGCCATTTGTTCCCTGTTATTTAGGATGGTTGTGTGTGTTTAGGCACGGAGCCATTTGCCTATGTGGACCAAATGATGAAAAGACTAAAAGGATTGTATTTTTTTTAAGTCTTCACATCATAGAGTTAGAATGGAATCCCTTGAGCACTAGCAAGTATACAGATGGAAAGTTGTTAATTTGTCAACTAACTTCAAAAAGTCCCTTAGGATCCTAGCTTTTGATGAGCTGACCCATCCACTCTGCTTATTGGATTTTTTTATACGTAAACAAGATTCTTCATAGCAATTAGAGTTGTGTCTGCAAGGTCAGAAAATGTAGTTTTACTTGCTCCTTCCTTTGGCTGCAGCGAACCAGTAATTGTGAAGCCATTTCTTGCATATGTTGAGTAAAACACAATGTTGTGGAATGTGTTTTTTATGTGCTGATACAACATCTTTCTCACTAACCATAACCTGCAGTTGTACATGCTTTTCCGCCATTACGTATGAGCCCTTTGCCATTTTTTGAGACCTGTACTATGCTTCTGATGCCCAATGCCCTGATTTTGGGCCACTTTAGTCCCACTGGAAATCAATTTCAATGGCACTAAAATGACTTTAATCCTAACATTCTAGTTGAACCCACATATGAGTTGCAGACTCCTTTTTTCGCCCCTCTGGACCTATACTTCCTAATTTTTAAAATGCTTTTTCTCCACTCAGTTGCTTAGTGCAGTTTGCAGCAAATGACTATTCTGAAATCACAATTGGAGGGGGAAATAAGTAGAAAATCATTTTTTTGTCTATAATCAGTACCTATGATTCAAGCTGTTACGTGCAACTATAACAAGCAGTAAGAGCTCTTTGCACTTCAGTACAATTTGTAAATTGCTGGTTTCTCTTTTAGGTAAAATTGTGTTCATAATCTCCCCCCCTCCCCCCCCACACACACAAGGAAAAGAGACTCTAGCTTGAAATACATTGCCCCTGTTTGGGTGACTTCTTGGCTGTCTGGTTAGATTCCTGGATCCCAATATATTAAAAGGACACTTGGCAGAGATGATGATTGTTTCCTGGGCAGGAGCCTCAAGCTGGTTCCTTAGGTGTCAAAAACCATTAGCTTACTCACAAAACACCCCTCGTGTTTGCTTTTGTTGATTTCATCTGGAAGGATTTTAATTTTTCCTTTCCAGCTCTTACAATGAAGCATGAATAATTTAAGTGAACTAAATGATAATTTAAGTGAACTAAATGATTTAAGTGAACTAAATGAAGTGAGAGCTGGAAGTGAGAGCTGGACCATAAAGAAGGCTGATCGCCGAAGAATTGATGCTTTTGAATTATGGTGCTGGAGAAGACTCTTGAGAGTCCCATGGACTGCAAGAAGATCAAACGCATCCATTCTTAAGGAAATCAGCCCTGAGTGCTCACTGGAAGGACAGATCGTGAAGCTGAGGCTCCAGTACTTTGGCCACCTCATGAGAAGAGAAGACTCCCTGGAGAAGACCCTGATGCTGGGGAAAGATGGAGGGCACAAGGAGAAGGGGACGACAGAGGACGAGATGGTTAGATAGTGTTCTCGAAGCTACCAGCATGAGTTTGACCAAACTGCGGGAGGTAGTGGAGGACAGAGGTGCCTGGCGTGCTCTGGTCCATGGGGTCACGAAGAGTAGGACACTTCTAAACGACTAAACAACAACAACAACAACAAATGATTACCATTAGGATCAACTGCATTGGATGATCCAGGGTCCCCTCCCCCTTTGCTATGTTTAAATATTGCCAGTACTTTTTTTTTTAATTGGCAAAAACGACACTGCTGACATTGGCTGCCGTATATCTGGATTTCCCTGCACATTTAGCCAATTTTCGCCCGGACACCGCTTGAGGCTACAGTATTTCGGATATGTCCGCAACTCACATGGTGAGTTCTGGCACCTCTTTTTCTAGAAAAATAGCCCTGCACATCATTTCCCTAGTTTTGTATATTGTGTCTATTTGAACACACACACACAATTAAACTGTAGTCAATAACTAAGACCATGGCCACTGGTCCTATCACTTCCTGCCAAATAGAAGGGGAAGAAATGGAGGGAGGGAGAGATTTTACTTTCTTGGGTTCCATGATCGCTGCAGATGGTGACAGTAGTCACGAAATTAAAAGACGCTTGCTTCTTGGGAGAAAAGCAATGACAAACCTAGACAACATCTTAAAAAGCAGAGACATCACCTTGCCGACAAAGGTCCATATAGATAAAGCTATGGTTTTCCCAGTAGTGATGTATGGAAGTGAGAGCTGGACCATAAAGAAGGCTGATCACCGAAGAATGGATACTTTTGAATTATGGTGCTGGAGGAGACTCTTGAGAGTCCAATGGACTGCAAGAAGATCAAACCTATCCATTCTTAAGGAAATCAGCCCTGAGCGCTCACTGGAAGGACAGATCGTGAAGCTGAGGCTCCAATACTTTGGCCACCTCATGAGAAGAGAAGACTCCCTGGAAAAGACCCTGATGTTGGGAAAGACTGAGGGCAGTGGAAGACAGGAGTGCCTGGCATGCTCTGGTCCATGGGGTCACGAAGAGTCGGACTAAACGACTAAACAACAACAACTGATTTTTATATAACATGGTAGCCCTGTATACAGTGTTTAGTATTGAAAGGGAACAGATGAGAGATTTTTCAGCTGAAGGGCTTCAAGCGAACAGAATTGGTTTGGTGAAATGACAGGCTATTTGAGGAGGGTGTTAGCTGCCCAGGAAAAGTTGCTTCAACTAATAACAATTCTTGTCATGCCTCAAGAATTCCTTACTAGGAAGGAAAAGCAAGGAGAGATGGGGAGTGGTGGAAAGGGCACTATGTATTTTAGAAAACTTAATACATAACTCTTTTTTTCACTCTTGTTAAAAACAAGGTCCATTCTTCTGAACCATTCCTTGTGATTTTAAAGACACGTAAGTCTTTTGTATGAGGTCACCCAACAAAAGAATTGAATTGTTCAGTTTTCACATGCCAATATCATTTTGCTCTGAAAGAAAATGGCAGCCTGCCATTGGTAGCAATGGTACAGCAGGTCACATAAGGTTTTGGCTTCCTGTATACTAGAAAATTAATTTCACCTTTGAAAGCCACAATAGCAGCAGTTTGGGTAAGGATGTGAAATAAGGGTCCAGTAGCCAGTGAACTCTTCATCCCATTTCTATGGCTTCCTTACATCCTTAACAGACATCTCTCTAAGTGACAGTAGTGGTTTCATTCACTTCATGCTTTTTGGGTTGTCATGTCATGTTATTTCATTATAAACTACCTAATGTTTTTTAAAATCTGTAAGCCATATACAATATAAATGCAAGCAATATCATTAAAATCAAGCGAATGCATGATGGAAACTGGAAACTTTTCCCTCTACCCGTTTTCTGTTAAAAATATAGCCTCTGCTAGTTTTACTCTAGTAGGTTGGCACAATTTGTGGCCCTCAAAGCCAAACATGGCCCACTAGCAATGAAGGGTCTGCAAGATATATCTCAACCCCCATTTTTCATACTTGTATGCAGATAGGAAAAAGAAATTTGCAGTGATTTCTTCAGACCTTCTATAGAGATTCAAGTAAAACTAGGAAGGGATGTTGTGTTTAAAATGAGTCATTGTTTTAAAATGAGTTTTAGCTATATTTTGGAGATGGATTGCAGTTTTGGATTTCCATGAAAAACCATCAAATTTGAGCGCAGATTTCTGGCAAATGTCTGGTTCCCAAGCTGTGTTGTGTATCAAAGAGAACAGTTGTTTCATGATATATACAAAAGCCACCTTCCTTGAACATCTTTTTCTGGCGATATGGAGACTTTTCTTTAGTGGGTTCAGC